CATTGTTTATAAAAAACGAACATGAAAATCAATTTCATCACATATTTTTTTATAAGACCAAGTGGGTTTGTGAAGTGGTAGAGCCTTAAATTTTGCAAAAGTTGATAACAAAGATGTGGACAAAATTTGTGTAAATGATATGAATGTTATGAAGAAATTTAAATATCAAAGTTCCTCATGAGTTTGCAAAGTTAAGGTGGAAGGAACGGGGAAACTTTAGTATACCATCCCACGACTTCAGGGTTAAAATGGGTATGGTTGGATAGAGGAGATTCTCCAGATCACGATCCGCCGCCGGGAACTTATAGTTTTCGAGATATTTGCATTTTAAGTTGAGAATTTTACAAATTTTATTTTACAATTTCTCGATTTATAGTTAAATTTTCTTTTATATTATGCACTTATTATACACTAACACTTTACTACAATGTTTCTATATATTTATTTTATATTAATTATTTAAATATTTGCTTTAAATAAGCATTTTATTTTTACACAATTTTCTTTATATGCACAATAATAAATTCCCCCCCTCTAGGGAACCGTCGCCCACCCTGGAATCGCGTTGCATTATTTCATGGTGGGGTTCCATTTTTCTCATTGAAAGATTTACAGCGATAGAAGCGTCCAGGTCCCGCTTTTTGCTGTGTAGCAAATTTGCAGTGATTTTCTGGATGATTCCTCAGTTTGCTTCGCTCTCCATCATAACGCTGATTAAATTGTCCGTGTTTATTGGACCAACCCGGTCTTCTACGGCGGGGCGTTCCCGCTGCCATCGCGTACATTCAAAGAATGTGTGTTCAGCGTCGTCTTCTGTCGCGTCGTTGTATGGGGATGACGGCATATTGACTTTTCTCATTCTCTGGAGATACTTTTTGAAGTATCCGTGACCGGATAGCAGTTGTGTCGGCCGCTTCGAGTCTGTGTCGAGCATGCATAGTTTACGGTATGCGGATGGCAAGTTGGGATCTTCTTTTCCTTTACTGATTAGGACCAGCCGTTATTTTTTTCAGAGTTCAGGGAATATTCCGGCTTCGAGGCAGGCGTTGTACATGTTTAGAAGTATTGCCGGCTGCTCTGCAGCGATTATTTTAAGAATTTCTCCTGGGATCTCATCCGGGTTGGGTGATTTGTTCGTCTTGAGCTTGCCTGCGGCCAGTTGCAGGGATTTGGGAAAGTCTTATGGTCTGTTCTGGTTCGCTAAGCCTTTTTTCGTGTGCGCCAAATAGTGCGCTTACGATGTGGTCCATTTTGACAGCGGTTAAGTTAGGTGACTTAGCTCGGACTCCGAGTTTTTTCTTTACTATTTTATACCCGAGACCCCAGGGGTTATTGTTAACATCCTCGCGTAGTTCCTCCCATTTCTTCTTTTTACTCTCATCGATGGCATGCTTAAGTACCTTTTTCGCCGCCTGGTATTGCTTGGCTTCCTGGAGTGCGGCTCCTCTGCGCCTCTCGTATACGACCTGCGAGTGCGAAGACATGTGCGTCTAAGTTGGACGATATTATCTGTTCACCAATAAACTGCCGCTTTGTGCTTGCTGTGGAAAGCTTTGGGCATTGATTTGTTACAAGCTCTTGTTATTTTAAGTATTGTGTGCTCGACAATTTTCCTTGCAGTTTTGGGAGAGCTGCAGATGGGTTCTGCTCGTCTATTGCGGAGATTAATTTCGAATTGTTTAATTTCGAGACGTTCCAATTTCGGCTGGCAGTATTTCTTCTCAGGTTTTTATCTTGGATGCCGTTGTCAATCGCGAAGGAGATGTACTGATGATCGCTCCCAGAGTATACTTCTAGTACTCTCCATTCCTTAATTAAGACTGCCATACGTTCTGATGTAGGGTGATGTCTGGTGTAATTTGCTCACACCCCGGTCTTCTAAACGTAGTTGCGTCTCCTGAGTTTAGCACTATTAGTCCGAGACCCGCTGCAGTATCTAGTATGCGCTTACCTCTCGAGTCGATATTTGGCATACCCCACTCTATGGCTTCCAAGTTTAGGTCTCTAGCGACAATTAAATGGCCCTCTATAGACCTAGCCGCTTAGCCTAGTCGTTGAGGTCGCAACTGGCCCAGACGAAACCGTTGCTGTTCCTTTTTCCTGTGAGGGGGATTTTACTTCTTGGGGGTAGCCATATAGCGGCGGTTGCGCTGCTATCTTCTAGCCAGGTTACAATATCTTTTTTCCTGTATTGTTCGCTTATGATGATTAAATCATAGCCGTTCTCCATCACCATCTGGGAGAGTAGTGCGTCAGCAGCCTTGCATATATGCATATTAGCCTGTAGGATATTCATTTATTCAGGTATTTCCTATATACTACGCATTTTGCAGAGCCCGGTATATGGTCAACTAGTTCTTGTTTGGCTTCTGTTCAGAGGCAGCATGATGAAGGCTTTATGCATTGTTTCAGTTTGTGACCTGGTTGGCCGTATTTTATGCAGATGCCTTGCCCGCTTCTATCGGGTCCTTTGCAGTCCCAAGTTAGGTGTCCTGGTCCAAAGCAGTGGAAGCACCTCTTTGCGTTTTCTTTGAGTCGCAGTCTACAGTAAACCCAGCCAATTTTGATGCGTGCCTGTCGCATCAGCGCCTCTGCTTTCTTGTGTTAGGTGATGTCATGTTTATCTTGATGTCTTCGTTAAAGTCCTGAATCGCCTCTTTTACACCCTCTTCGACTTCCTCCTTTGTTGTGAGGGAGTCGAGGTCTCTGATCTCAATGGTAGTCTTTGGTTTAAGGTCGGCCAGCATTGCAGATTCTCGAAGGGTGCTTTTGAGTGCCTCGCAGAAGCTGACCTTTGTAGTTTGCCCCTTTTCTAGTGCTAGTAGTATCGCCCCGGTTCTTGTTTTGCAGATCCCTTTGATCTTAACATCTGCTTCTTTAAGATTCACCGTGCTTCGGATATTCTTTAGAACCTCGGCTTAGCTTTTACCTTCTGTTGGCTTAATGATCACGACCTCTAATTGCCGCTTGATCCTGTTATTTGTTTTCAGATTTGCAGCTGTGTTGTTCCGTTGTGGTCTTACTTCTACTTGTTTAGGTGCTTCTGTAACATTTCCTCCATCGGCCTGGGGATTTTTCTTTCTTTTAGACAGAACTTTTTGCACTCACCGTCCTTTTCGTTTCGCGGCCGCACTGTTTCCACAGGGCTTGTCGCCCGTCGTTTAGAGGTTGTTGAGCCACGTGAGCCAGCTTCTGCGGTACATCTTCATTACATCAAAGAGTTCGTCGAGCTGTGCCGTTCCATTCTTGACATCCATGCTAACATTTTGTTTTGCCATCGCCATCTTCATTTTTTGTACGATACCCTTGCACCTCTATAGAGACTCCTCTTCTGCCCATCTCATTTGGGTAATGTACTCTTCCTTCGGTGAATTTTTAATGGCCCGAGGTTCTGCTGTGATGGCAGCTGGAGTGCTCCCCGCTTCTGTTTGCTTTGTGGTCCCTGTTTGTGTAGACGGAGTTTCCCTGTCCGTCTTTCTGTCTGTCTTTCCTTCTTTGCCGGTTGTTTTGGTGTAACCGTTAGTGTAGGGGACCTACGTATCCTGCTACTCCTGCGGAAAGCTGTCCCGTATTCCTCGTCTTGGTTGTCTTTGTTTTGTTGTGTTTTTCCGTATTGTTCTTTCTCTTGTGTTTTTTGTTGTTGTGTTGGTGTATTCATTTTATGCTATTGGGTCTACGCTTCAAGCCGCTATATCCGCTCGTTGTAACAGTTGCCCTGTGTGAACCTCGTGGTTATCTATGCAAGCAGAAAGGCCACGCAAGAATTGACACAAGTCTTTATGGGAGCTTGTGTTTAGAGCTAGATTCGGGCACAAATCAGGAGTTCGTCTCAACTGAACCTGTACGGTAAAATTAATTAAACCTAATCCGTTTCGTGTTTCCAGTATTCCATAATCAGAATCTTACTGGCCTCGATTCTGATGGGCGCTTGCCAGGAGTTTCTCTGACGTCTATGCACATTGGGTGCTGATCGCTAGATTGGTCCCTCGTTGCTTTGTTGCCTCCCTCCCGTGGGTAGGTTTTCCTTCGATACAACCCCGGTGGGGATTGTGGACGCTTATTTACTGGCGGAATCTATTCGCCTCTTCGCCGGAGGCTCATTGGGCGCATGAGGCTTTTTGAGCCAAGCCCTCCTCTTCTGCAGCTCTTGGTCGGGGGCTATGTATTACTATTCGCAGCTGACCTCCTTAGTGTAGACCGTCCACTATCCGACAGCTGTGACCTCGGTAGTAGTCTGAGCTCAGCCCTACCAAATACCCCATTACCCTCTACAAAATTAACTTATATGCACAATATTTATTAATTCAACGACAAATCGAACAAAAAAGGAAACGGTACCTTGTTTAGTTGTAACAATATCCGTTATAATCCGTTATTGAAAATGAAGTTTAAAGAGAGTGATATACCCTCTTTAACATTACTTTTTTTGGTTAGAATTTCTATTTGCCTTGGCGGCCTTCGGCCGCGCTTCAAAAAAATAGCCCTGACCGGTCAAACATCGGGGTGATCGTTATTCCTTTCGCGTCAAACTTCTTTAAGCATTAGCGGCCTTCGGCCGCGCTTCAAAAAAATAACCCTGACCGATCCAACACCGGATTGATCGTTATCCCTTTCGCTTCCTTTTTCTTTATAATAAAAATATCACTGGCCAATCCAATACAATGGTTTATGAATATAAGAGAACGAACAAAATTATGGTTAATGTATTTGTGGTATAATCCTCTATTATTCATTTTAGTTCGTTTGCGAAATATAAATACAAATATATATATATATATAAAATTGATATGGCAACATTTATTATCTGTCAATATGGAACCCATTTGTTATTGTGCATACAACGAAAGTTGTGTAAAAATAAAATGTTTATTTAAAACAAATATTAAAATAATTAATATAAAATAAATATGTAGAAACATTGTAGTGAAGTGTAAGTGTATAATAAGTGCATAATATAAAAGAAAAGTTAACTATAAATCTAGAAATTGTAATGGAAAATATTTTCAAATTGTGAATTCATCGCATAAAACCGCTTTTTGTTTTCATACCATTATTATACTTCACTTAAGTTGAAAACCATATATATAATCTTGATAGTTAATGAATAGCAGCAGAAAGGCCTAGCGGTAACCTCAAGTTATTTGATTATTTTTTATTTATATTTATTTCGTAACGAAAATATGTTAATACTTGTTTACATCATCACTAATATGAATTATTTTAAATTTGTAAAAGAATTTTAAGGTTTTATTTGAAAATGATTGAGAAAATGGAATTTATATAGGGAAATTTTGCCTTTTAGAGAGCAAAGTTTGGACAAAATCTCATTTTAAATGAAAAATGTATACCGTAAATAAATATGCGCATTAAAATTTGAAAGCAACACATTTAGGCTATCGAACTGCATATAAAATGGTTGGTTAAGTTAAATATTTGATTTTTAGTAAATTAAATAAACTTAAAAGTTTGTCCGTTGGAGATGTTAAATTGCACTGGATCGTTCTATTTTGTTACTCATCTTTTCACCTCGCTTCTCAATTTAAGAAGGTATAGCAATTTGTAGGTATTTCTTCATCTATAAATTAGTACATAAAGTGTATATTTAATTAATATAAAACAGGAATTTATAAAAGTGAAAATGTCTGAAACAATTGCTGTTGCGAATATTAGCTCTCCGGTAGCCGGATCTTCTGCTATTTCTGAGAAAAAAGTTGCTGCTAAAAAAACAGTGAAGCCAAAAAAGCCTTCAGTCGCTCCTACTCATCCCCCAACTCAACAAATGGTTGATGCATCAATTAAGAATTTAAAGGAACGTGGTGGCTCATCACTTTTGGCTATTAAAAAATACATCAGTGCTACATACAAATGTGATTCTCAAAAATTAGCACCATTTATTAAGCGATATTTGAAATCGGCTGTTACTAGTGGTAAACTTATTCAAACTAAAGGAAAGGGTGCATCCGGTTCGTTTAAATTATCAGTGGCTGCCAATAAATCAAGTAAATCCGGTGAAGGTAAATCGAAGTCAAAAGCGGTAAAATCTATCGAGAAGAAGCCCAAAAAGAAATCGACAGATGGTGTAGCGTCAAAAAAGAAGGCAGCGGTTGGCGGTAAGAAAATAAGTGGCGAGAAAAAAGTGAAGAAAACTGTTACTAGCAAGAAAACAGCGGAGAAGAAGAAAAGTGAAAAAGCCAAAACGAAAGATGCAAAAAAGACTGGATCAGTTAAAGCCAAACCAGCTAAAGCTAAATCGTCTCCGAATAAAGCAAAGGCATTAAAAGCTAAAACACCTAGTGTCAAAACCAAGAAAGCAGCGGTCAATAAGAAACCGGTCACCAAGAAAGCGCCAACTAAAAAGTAAAACCTAGGTAAATATAAAAAAAAAAAAAATTATGTGGCGAATAAGAAATAAAATAAGCCCTTTTCAGGGCTACAAAAATTCTTAACATATCGATCAGAAATGGATTTTTATCAAAAACACACGGACATCATATAAATATTTAAACTACGTGTCACGTTTATATCTCATTTGTGTTAAAAGTAAAACAATTCATACATAAAAAAAAAAATATATATTTCTAAACATAATCATGCGTACAAAATTCAAAAAAAAATTATATATACATATGTTATATTAATAATTATAATTTTCAGTAAAATGCCTAATGAATTTTCCATTCATTATTTTTTCAATTGACAATCATTTTCAAAATTAAATCTCAAGTATTTGAAATTTCGCCTTTAATCGGAAAAAATCTTTTCATTATATTGAATAGTATTAAATACCACAGTAAAGCGTGGCCGGACCTACATGTATACTCATATTTCATATCTCTTTGTTGATTTATATCTTGTGGCCCTGAAAAGGGCCTTTTTGCTAGTCGTTATAAAAATCATTTGAACAAATTACTTGGAACTTGTGTATTTAGTGACAGCTTTGGTACCTTCGCTCACAGCATGTTTAGCTAATTCACCAGGCAAAAGTAAACGAACAGCAGTTTGGATTTCGCGACTAGTGATAGTTGAACGTTTGTTGTAGTGAGCTAAACGCGATGCTTCGGCAGCGATACGCTCAAAAATATCATTTACAAAACTGTTCATGATACTCATGGCTTTTGACGAAATACCCGTATCTGGATGTACTTGTTTCAACACTTTATAAATGTAAATAGCATAACTTTCCTTCCTCTTGCGCTTCTTCTTCTTGTCATTTTTAGTAATATTCTTTTGGGCTTTACCAGCCTTTTTCGCTGCTTTTCCACTAGTTTTAGGAGGCATGTTTTTTTTCACTTCACTTTTTCACTTAAAGAGAAGAGATTTATTTTTTCTTTTGGTGTATTAAATAAGTATATAGAAAATGTCTGGGCGTGGTAAAGGAGGTAAAGTGAAGGGAAAAGCAAAGTCGCGTTCAAATCGTGCTGGTCTTCAATTTCCCGTCGGACGTATACACCGTTTGTTGCGCAAAGGCAATTATGCCGAACGTGTTGGTGCTGGTGCTCCCGTATATTTAGCTGCTGTTATGGAATATTTGGCTGCTGAAGTTCTTGAATTGGCTGGTAATGCTGCCCGTGATAACAAAAAGACTAGAATAATTCCACGTCATTTACAATTGGCCATCCGTAATGACGAAGAATTGAATAAATTATTATCTGGAGTGACTATTGCTCAAGGTGGTGTTTTGCCAAACATTCAAGCTGTACTTTTACCAAAGAAGACTGAGAAAAAAGCATAAATTTGTATCTCGACGAGTCTTATTATTAACATACTATCTAAACACAAGAATAAAACCGTCCTTTTCAGGACGACAAACTATTTACATTCAAAGAGATTGATATTATTTTCTAAAAAACTACATACTCGTATATACTTTTATATATATATTTCGCTAAAATTTTTATTTAATTTAATATAATGCACAGTAAATATTTTTATATGTAAAGTACGTTTGTAACAAAACTTGACTAGTTATACAAAACCGGTTGCATACGATACACATATAATAATACATGAATGTGTTAGTATAGTATACACAGTCATCTGTACATACAGCGTACGGTACAGTATAGTAGGTAGGCAATTACGAAAAACACTAGATGCGTATGGTGGTACACATGTACAGTTCTGTGCATTGTGTGTTTTCGAAATTAAATTCATTTTTATCTACAATAAATATATAAATTTTTGATCTTTCGTTGAGAAATTGTGGTCCTGAAAAGGACCGTTTGGATATATATCTTCTTCAATTCAATTAAGCACGTTCTCCGCGAATACGTCTGGCTAATTGAATATCTTTTGGCATAATTGTGACACGCTTTGCGTGAATGGCGCACAAATTTGTATCCTCAAACAAACCGACCAAATATGCTTCACTTGCTTCTTGTAGAGCCATAACAGCAGAACTTTGGAAACGTAAATCTGTTTTGAAATCTTGAGCAATTTCTCGTACTAAACGTTGAAATGGTAATTTGCGGATTAATAGTTCTGTACTTTTTT